TTCTTCTTCTTCTTCTTCTTCTTCTTCTTCTTCTTCTTCTTCTTCTTCTTCTTCTTCTTCTTCTTCTTCTTCTTCTTCTTCTTCTTCTTCTTCTTCTTCTTCTTCTTCTTCTTCTTCTTCTTCTTCTTCTTCTTCTTCTTCTTCTTCTTCTTCTTCTTCTTCTCCTTCTCCTTCTCCTTCTCCTTCTCCTTCTCCTTCTGCCATATCCGTTATCGGACGTTGGCGATCATGTTGGCAATCCTGTTTTTATCAGCAGCCGCACGAAAAAGTGCTGCTGAGTTTTGTCCAAACTAGAAGAATATTTCCTTTAAAACTTGTTGATATGTATCAATCCTCCATAAACCTCTCTACTCTCTGTTTAAAATCATATAAAGTGTCACCTTGTCAGCAAGTTCTATCTGACTATGCGGTGTGGAAAGAAATATTTCTTTTTGTTTGTTCTTAAACTCTCCGCAGTTTATCTTCAATGGAGGGCTCTAGATTTTAACACTGTAAGAAAACTCTCCATCTCATGTGCATTGGTATAAAGAACTACCCCCGAAGATATGTATATACTGCGAGATGCAAAGAATGCTGCTTTGATTAGTTGGTTTTCTCCTTCTCTTTGTTTGATGTTTATGTCTTGTTTTCTGCCAGTTCACCTGTAGTACTGTGGACCTTCTTGACTGTATAGCTGCAGAGTATAATCTCACTCCTCCTGAGGTGAATTTGTGCCATATTAGCTATTCCAATTATAGCCTGGAAACCACAGAAGGATTCTGTGCTACTTCTCAGCCAAACTGTAACTTTCCAGAGGTATTTGCTTTGTGCTGTAATGTGGGTGTATTTGTTTTGGGTAAAAATGACATAACGTGTTGCTGGGGTCTTCATTACTGTGTTGGTTTTTCTGTCAGCCTTTATCAATACAGTATACTAAAATGGCATCAACTGCTCCGTAGAATCCTTCATTGAAAAAGGGCTTGGGTTTTTGTACTTTTGTCTGCCACTCAACTCTTAATCCCTCTGTATATGTTCCATACAATGAAAACATGAAATCTTCTTCAGACTGAGGAGTGAATAATCTTATTTCAGAATGTTCCTGCATGTAATCAGTCTTTGCCTTGTAAAATTAGGACACCACAGGGAAAGCATTAGCGTAGCTCCCTTCCGAATTACTGTTTTCTATGCAATGAACTGGGAGCTTTGCTAAGGGGTAGGACACACATCCTTTTATATAAAATTAAATGCATTCATAATGCAGGGATTATTGAGTATGAGATTATTGAGTAACATTCAAGAACACGATCAATTGCTAGGCAGTTTCATTCCAGAACCCACAACCTAAAGTTGCATGCCTTTCCAATTGCACCATGTAGAGGTTTCTCTATGTACCTCTGCCTGCAGAAATTGTAATTGGGGATAGGGGGAGGAGCTCACCAAGGGAGGTGAGATTCAGCAAGGCCTCTGTAGACTCTCTCCTAGGAGTACAAAGATTGCAGCTCTCCAAACACTTGGACATTAGTCCCATCAAAAAGAATAAGGGTATGCATGCAAAGATATGTATGGAATTGCAGTATAAATCTGCCCAACTTAAAAAGACTCCAGTCTATTCCATGCTTGTGAGGGTATTTTAGGGACCTCTGTAGGTTTCGCACAATCCTGGGAAAAGTTACTGAAGGAACTGCAGAGCAGTTGTTTTGAAGCACGGAGGGCAAAACTGTAGCACGGCTGCATCTTTTCTGGGGACTGTAGGTTGGCCTTCTGCAACTGCTGTATAGTCCCAGGAGAAGTCATAGTTGCTTCAAGGAGCTTCATAGAGGTGCCACGTTTGTGTCTACAGGCAATCCAAAGCAACTTTTGCCTTCAAATCCCAACTCCCTGCTTTAAGGAGCTGCAGACACAGTTGTGTTCCTGCATGCTGCAAAGGACCCGGTGTACATACATGTATAACAATACACAAACACATGCATATGTGTATTGACACACGTACACATCACACAGAGCTGGAGGGTAAGCTTTTAAAAGAGATGCCTCTTTTCTGACAGTGAAGAATGTATTTGATATTTCTTTATATCACTGGGAATGTGGGCTAATTCTGCATATTATCAGAGAGTAGTTTTGGCCTGAAAAAAATGATTAAATAAATATCTAAACTGGTTACTTTCCCGCCCTCCCTGCCCCCGGGGCCTAAAATGTGTTTGTGTTCTATTTGCCTGTGCGATCATTTGCAGTTGTAAGATGCTCATTAGTTTTAGAAATCATTTCAAAAACAGTCCTAGTGTCAGTTCCTCCATTACCAATGGAAAAAAGAAAAAGGCACCGAATTCTGTGTACCCTCAGCACCGTTTGTCGCCTGTCCAATTGAATATGCCGGAAGTGGATGCCTTGTCAGTTGTTTATAGAATGGGGTATATGGGGCAGGTAGGAGAGAATGAGCTCCATGATCACTGAGTTGTCAGGGAAGCATCCAATAAGTCCGGTGAACTCCCATTTTAGGTCAAAGGTTGCACAGGCCTCCTGGAAACTTTGTTAGCTTGTGCTGGCCTCAGGATGGAGACCCTTGAAACTGAGGAGTCTTAATCTGCAACTAAGATCATATTCCTTTTTAACCATGTTTTGTAAATCTGCTAAATTGCCCTTTACTTTACTGAAATTCTTTTCTTTTTCTCTTGTTCTTGTTTTCATTCCCCTCCTCTCCCCCCCCCACCAGTACTTCACCTACAGTGTTTTACTGACCCTCCTGGCTTGCTCCGTGTTCCTTCAGATCAGCTGCATTGGGAAACTCATTTTGATGTTGATTATTGAATTTATATATGTCCTCATTGTGGAAGTGCCAGGCCTTACCCTCTTCGATAATGCAGATCTTCTGGTTACAGCCAATGCCATGTAGGTAAACATAAAGAGTCCATGGGGGGTGGGGGATGGGGTTAGAGAAAAGTGTGGCCACGGTTGGTGGTGTGAGATTTTCCTGAACAACCATGTGAATTGATATATTTTAATCTGGACTGAACCACTTCATTTGACATGTATGACTGAACAGTTTCCATTTTCTAAAACAAAATGTGTATAAAAATCCATACATATTAGAAAATTATTTTTTTTTTTAACGTATGAAGAAGTGTTGCCATCTGAAATGGAATGGTCCAGAACCAGGTTTACCACTTCATATGCCAAATTGGTGGCATTATCCAATATATTTCAGCAATAGCTCATCCCAACCCACTTCACAGGGTTTTTGGGGGGCGGGGGGAAATAGCGGAGGAAGGGTATGTTGGATATGTTTGCTGCCTTGGGTTATTTGTAAAAAAAAACCAACAATACAACAATAAATACAAATGTATCTCCAAGTTCTCACAGGCCGGTAAGGAGGATGCACAAAATAATAGTCAGTCTGGAACTAAATCTTGATTTGCCTCACACCGTGCTGAGAATCTCCAGGATATTGGGGCAGCCTTCACCTGCCGTTTTCACCTGAGGAGCCAGAGGCAAAGGAAGGGAGCATGGAAAGCATAGAAGGAAATCCTAAATATCCTAGCATCAAGAGTGGCACAACTGCAGCTGGCTGTAGGGGAGTGGTGTTCCCATTGGCCAGGGGTAGGCAACCTTGGCTCTTTTATGACTCGTGGACTTCAACTCCCAGAATTCCTGAGCCAGCATGGCTCAGCTTGGAAACCTCTCCCTTTTCCCTCAGCATGGCTGGCTCAGGAATTCTGGGAGTTGAAGTCCACGAGTCATAAAAGAGCCAAGGTTGCCTACCCCTGCCATTGGCCTAGCAAGAAATGGACACTGTGGTAGCCTGGCTCCTTGTGTTTTGGTAGGTGTGGCTATCATTGGCTTGGGGAGCTGCTGGGAAAGCTGTGCAGTAAGGCTTTGCTAAGGGAAGGCCTCTGTACTGCTGTATGGATTGCAGGCAGGCTACAACCTTATCAGTTGGTTGTTAGAGGTGTATCTCATCCATCCACAGGCAAATGCCAAGTGCAGCTTTTCTGCAGTAGCAATAGGCTACATGACCGAATGGGAATGTAATCAGTGTCGTTATGTGGACACGTATCATGGGGAGGCATAAGAAAGAAATCTGTGAAGAGATATATATGATGTAACAGATGCAGAACAGGAAAAGTAATTATTCTCTAGCTTTAAATCCCTGCCACAAATTCCTTTCCCATCTTGTATATGATATTGGAAAAGGGACCCCACCCTACCTGCCTTGGGACTTGAAGTGACTGTAGGAGTCAGGGTGTTGGAATATAAATTTATTGTGAAAGATAAGGGCCACTCCTTCTGTTCTTCTCTCAGTGAAGTGATGAAAGATTGGTGCATGGGATAGCTTCCAGCACTTAGTTTGAGGATTAATTTCTTCCCATTTAATTTTAAGCAGTGTGACAAGGCTGGTGGTAGCTTGGTGGCCAGGCAGTGATATTTACTTCAATAAGAAGGAAGGAAGGAAGGAAGGAAGGAAGGAAGGAAGGAAGGAAGGAAGGAAGGAAGGAAGGAAGGAAGGAAGGAAGGATTCTCAACTTAAGCTCCAAAAGATGAACTATTCATGGTTAAGTGGTTGCTTACATTTCCATTGTTCCCTATAATATCGGCAAGAAGTTATTTAGAGTGAGGCTGATTAGTTGGATCTATCTCACTCCACTCTCAAGCCAGCTTTGAGAGTCTCAGCATTTTGCCTAAGGGCACCGTATAGGAAGGCCTGTTTCCATAAATCTTACTCGGACCAGCCAAAGTTTCCAATGCCAGGCAAGCAAAAGAATTCAGCATTGATACTAGAGGTGGAAAAAATCTAATTCCGTGGGCGAATCTGGGCTTGCAGGATTTCTTTGACATTAAGTGATTGCAAAGATGCCTTCTAAATGTGCAGTTCTTGGGAATAAGCCTCTTTCGACACAGAGGGCCTTACTTTGAAATAGCACACACACTGTATTGTGTTGCCTGGATGTGCTAATGACTCATTAATTTGACTAGTGACTCATTAGAGCTGGCTTCTCTGCTGTGCAGAATTTTGATTCCTTTGGTGATTAGCTACCCCGCTATTATCATATTATTTAGCCCAGTAATGTTTTATTATTTTCATAATGCTCTTAAAATACCCTGAATAGCCATTTTGATTGAACTCGGTAAGTGAGTAATGCATAAAAAAAAAACCTGTCTCAGCCTGAATCACAGAAGGGAGGGGTTTTTTTCATATTTTTAATTGTTTTGCTGAGATAATCCACCTGAACATGATTTTTCTCTTCCTATAAGAGAAAATTGAACGCAAATTAGAAGCAGTCATTTGAAGGAGGAATCTGAAAACAAACCATCTTTTTAGACATTTTATAGTGCCAGGAATTTTGATCAGGCTAAATTGGAGCACTTTGAAGCAATTACTTGCATCACCTCACAATCAAGATGTCAGGAATAAGGGTGAAGTAAATAACCCCATCTTTTCCAAGAAATAAATGTGGGAGTTGCAGTTTTGGTACTTATTAACTTACTTTTCTTCTGAAAGCTCTTTTAATAGCTAGGACTCACTACTTAGCATACTATTTATGGCTGGTGGGAAACTTTTAGGAAAGCCAAACATAGCTTAGGTGCACCTGCTTCCAGATCCAGGACATATTCTATTCTACCTTCAACTATAGAAGCTCCTTAGGTCAGTGATGGCGAACCTTTTAGAGACCGAGTGCCCAAACTGCAACCCAAAACCCACTTATGCATCATCAGGTGCCGGGTGGGTGTGGCCCATTGGCTGGGTGTGGCCAATTGGGTGGGTGTGGCCCATTGGGTGGGCATGGCTGTGGTGGTAACGGCAGACTCGATGGGACTAAAAAGTTCAATCAATCAATTCCAACTTGGCAAGATCTTTTTTTTCCCCGCGAGAAGTTGAAATTGACTGATTGATTGAACCTTTTCTTTTTTTTGCACACGGTGGCGGAGGCCTAAAGCGAAAAGGTTTTATAAAACCCAGCTGAAGGCTTAGGACTGGGGCGATGGCGCATGTGCCCACAGAGAGGGCCTGAGTGCCGCCTCTGGCACCGTGCCATAGGTTCGCCACCACTGCCCTAGGTGATTTTGGGCTAATCATTCCCTTCTCTCACAGAGATTTGAGTAAAGAGGTCACACTTATAAGCTCATTCTGGAGAAAAAATGCTACTATTACCCTTACACAGGATTATGGTTATGTGGAAAATAAGGAGTGGAATTAATTGAATTAATACGGATTCCCGATCCACCAAACTACAGTAATACCTTGGTACTCAACTGCTTTGAAACTCATCAAATTTGGTACTCAACGCATTTTGATGTGAAAATTTGGTCCCAGTACTCATCGTTTGTTTGGTACTCAACGCGCAAGCTAGAACTTGTCAATGTCAGCTGCCTTGTGACTCACTGCATTTTTCCTGGGATTTTTTTTTTTTTTGGTATTCAACATTTTTGTTATTCATCGTGCCTCCCAGAACTAATTAATGATGAGTACCAAGGTACCACTGTATGGCAATGCTAGCTGCATAGAGATGCCACTTTTTCTGTCATACGAATTTACTCAGTGTGTAGGCCTCTTTTCCTACACTGAGCAGAGGCTCAGACAGAGTCTTGAATGCTCCCTTCCAATTCTCTGATTCTAAGGAAGGGCTGTGGTTCCAACTCCACAAGAACAACAGAGCATTTGAAGTTGTAACTGGAAAAGCAACAGCAAGATTTAGGCATGGCTATATACATGGACAGCTTGATGTTAGCTAAATAGAAATACAAGGTATGTTTAACGTGAACAATTAATTTGAGCTGCAAGACTGGAAAATAATGGCATTAATTTGATTGCAAATTTCCTTTGCTGGGGCTGACATAGCTATTTGATTCTACTATAGCAAAGTCTTAAATCTGTGACAAGATATAAGTAAAATTTCCAGGAAGGTACAAATATGAATGAAATATGAAGAAAATTGTAATTGTAAGATACTCTTCCATTGAATAAAAATTATAATTGTAAGATACACTTCCATTGAATGAAATAATAGCTTGGTAGATATAAAGATTCACATTTTCCAAATAATTCAGTGAAATACTTTGGCCTTAAAATGTAATATTTCATAACCAATACATTATGCCTATTTAGGTATAGATATCTTTAGGTTTACTCGTCATTGGAATTATTTGCTTCTAAGCAGCATAGATATGCGATGTCTTGTCTAACTCTGTAATTTTCCTTCTAATCCTTCCCAATAAACCAGTAAATCCTCACTTCAACCAAAATTAAATCCAAAAGGTACAGGATAAACCTCTCACGTTAACCATACTCATAGAACAAATTCTTTGGAAGTGGTTGTGGCTCCCCCTAGTGTCCAAGGTGAAAAAACTGAAAGAATGTTATTATGGAGCGTTGCACATTACATCTCTGTACTAAATGTATGCTTCTTTAATTTATTTGCATATTGACTCGAATGGACCTTTGCATGCTTCTAGAAAAACAAGGTAGGGGAACGTTTCTGAAATTATTTTCAACCGTTTTATCAACTGTGATCGTAAGAAGTGTCACTGTTTTCTTTTGTGTATCAAAAGTGTTGTGTTTGTGTGCATGTATGCTTAAATTGTCCCCTGGGAAGCTGGTGGTGGGTTGTGAACATTTCACTCTGGGTCATTGGCAAGCAAGGTGGGGGGGTGAGAAAGGGGGGGGGGGCTTAGAAGGGAGCAGTCACTAACTTTCTATGCTGCTGCCTAAATGCATCTCTCCTAGGAATGTTCTGGGAATTATTTTTCTGCATATTTTTTCTGCAACCTCTAGCAAATTTTCAAACCCCGGCTCTGCCCCAATCCCAGATTAGTTCCTGTTCAGTTCAGTTATTGATAAGTTAGCTTGTTAATGGGCAGATAGACAAGACTTCCAAGCTCTTGTATATGATTGTATCCCAGCATTTCATAGGGCTAGACAGAATAAAAACTGATGTTGCAATTGTCCAATGTTAGACCCAGAATTTATGAGGGGCTCAGACATTATATGATTCATTGGGGGCTGTACTTTTTCCCCCCCAACCAGCCTTATTCAGATTTTCTTGTTTAAAAAAAAAAGGCGGAGGGCAGGATTTCTTATATTTTTAATATTGCATAGGATGTCTGTGTTTCAACCAGACATTCAGTAGGCTGAATTTGCGTACGGCTTTGTGTGTGATGGGTGGGGCTTGGGAAAGAATGCAATTTTGTTGGGTAAATTGGTTACATTCCAGACATGAGAGAGGTGTGTTCACGTGTGCCTGCACCCCTCCAGCTAGGAAATACATGCAGTGCTCATAGGCTATAGTTATTTATTTAATTTATTAGATGCAAAAGAAGATTGTTTCATTGGGGAAAAAAAGGGAACATGTGGCTCAAAACAATTCTTGTTGTACCTCCTTTGTTTTTACCTTTCTTTTCCACATCACAACAGGCCAGTTTGTGTATCCCATTCTGCCAATGGGGAGACAAATTAAGATACAACAGTTGAGTGAAAGAAGATATAAAAGGCCTATCTTGACTCAGAACTCAAACTCTTAGCAATGCAAGCAATATCATAGAAATGAATATGTGAAATTGGAAAAAAAAGAACAGGGGCTAATGATGATCTCAAAGGTGCTTTTTCAACTGGATTGTTTTTCTTTGAGAAGGAAGAAGAAAACCTTTCACTTCTCATCCAAGAAGCTTCATGAGATTCATTCACAAGTTGAAGAAGCTTGTGATGAAGCAAAACATTTTCTTTTTTTTCCTCAAGGAAAACAACGGTCCAGTTGCCTTTTGAAAAAGCACCTCTGGGGCAACTTTGACCTGATGACTGAGAATCTCCACAGATTCTAATGGCTAATGGTGGGTAAAAGAAATGAAAGATCTCTTCGTTTTGCCTAAAATATGTCCTTTTTGTTCTTTTAGCGTGTTTTCCAATGAGACTGAGAATGGAATATGGTGAGTTAATGAAGGACGATGTAAATTGCATTTTCAACAATTGAGATGTGTTTGAACATCTCAATGGTTGATTTTCAACAATTAATTTAGAATCGGTGGATGCTCGTATTGGTGCAGATCTGTGGCAGAAGGAGGGAGGGTGCTCTTGGTTCAAGATGCTGCACTTGCACTGCAGCTGGTTGAGTTCACTCTTTTCCTGGATCAGGAGTCCCTGCACTCAGTCATTCAAGTCCTGGTCATCTCACATCTGGGCTACTGCAATGCACTGTACATGGGGCTATCCTTGAAGAGCGTTCGGAAGTTTCAACTGGTGCAAAGTGTGGCAGCACAGGCAGTTCCTGGGGTCCCTAGGATGACCCATGTTAGGCTGCACTGGTTGCTGGGTGCAGTTCAAGGTTTGGGTTATTACCTTTAAAGCCCTGCATGACATGGGGTCCAGGTTACGTGAAGAACTGTGTCACCCCACTGGGACTGGCTCACCTTACCCGCACCAGCAAAGGAGACATACTGCAGGCCCTGTTGGTCAAGGAATTCTAGGGCCTTCTCTCCTGTGGCTCCTGCCCGTTAGACTATCTTACCCCCGGAGGTGAGATTGGCTCCTACCCTTCTGTCCTGGATCTGCCAGATGGCTTGAGGTCCCAATGTGGGAGCATCACATTGGAGGTGGTTGAATTAAGAGACAATCACACGTTCCCCCCCCCCCCCCGTGCATCCTGTCGTGTCCCTCCCCATCTTTTANTTTTTTTCATTTCATGATCACAGATATCTTGCTGTAGATAATCTACAGGGGGCCGATAGGCACCATCTTAGCATAGTGGGCCTATAGCTTAGATAAAGAATACTGACAAGCACATTTCCTAGATTGCTTTCAGAACATTTGCGTGGGAAAAGTGTTACATAAATATTGTAAATTGACTAAATGAAGAGCATTGTAATTCGGTGGGAGTTCTTTTCAAAAACGAATCAATTTTACTTGCTTAAATTACGTCTCAAGGATGACGATCTTGGAAAAGTTGCTGCTTTTACGAATGTCGATGGTTTTCTTCTTCATGGGATTCTACTCCTGTTGATCAGCCTCACCAACCTGAATCAGAACTCAAAATGAAGCTTCCGCCAATATTGGAGTTCAATTTTGAGGACAGAACTAATAATTTCAGTAATAGGTCTTCTAAGTACGCTTAAAATTAGAACCCGATGAAGTGTAGCAGGTGACTCTGTTATCACCGGTCTATTACATCCCATGCATATTTATTTCCAGCCCATTTCCCACATAAATGAAGTTAACTTGCAACCACCTCCTTGTCTCTCTCTTTCTCTCTCTTCAGGCTACTGAAGAAAAGGAGGAGATGGAGGAGCTGCAGGCCTACAACCGACGGCTTCTCCATAATATCTTGCCAAAGGACGTAGCAGCCCACTTTCTTGCACAGGAGCGGAGAAACGATGAACTGTATTATCAGTCCTGTGAATGTGTGGCTGTCATGTTTGCTTCCATCAGCAACTTCTCAGAATTCTACGTGGAGTTAGAGGCCAACAATGAAGGGGTGGAGTGCTTGAGGCTCCTCAATGAAATCATTGCTGATTTTGATGAGGTGAGCAAATTCAAGGAGAACAATGGTCTCTTTCATGCTGAGGACCGATCACTATGTAAAATACCCTGTCCCACACAACATTGCATTTGACACTTTGGTTGTCTAGGTTCAGGGGCTCTTTAAGTGACAAATATTTTTTTTTAACTTTCTGCTCTAATAGATATTAATACAAAAAAACAATTGAACCTTCTCTACAGTCATAAAGTGTTCCCCAAAACTCTTAGAATTCATGGAACTAGTTTTCCTAACCCAGTTAAGTGATTGCATGTCCTGGTCACCTACTTAGTCTTTTGGCCCCTAGTGCCATAGAGCGGGGCAAGTAGGAATTGAGTCAAGGCAGCTGAAACATGCATGCACACTTGCTAGAAAACTTATTCATTATAGCTAGCTTGGATTTTCTTGAATTTTTTTGTAGCAAAGAAGGAATTACATTATAACAGAATAATCTATGCCATACAATTAAAAGTGCAAATAGTGTTAACTCAATTACCTGTGTGTGATAGCAAGCATTGACACATGTCATTTGTATTATACTAAACACAGACAGGAATTTGAACAGACAGGAATATATTCATGTTGTATTATATTATATTGAAACATTATAAAATATTTCCTCCTATACTAGGCTAGAATATTGCATCAGAAGATCTAGGACTTCTTAACCCAAGGATAAATGATGTGTGTCAGTGTTTGAGGGTCTATGTCAATTTGCTACAGCCAACTCGCCATGGCCAACTCACCACAACTTTCTGCAGTCAACTCGCCATGGCCAATTTTCTGCGGGACAACTCACCATGGGACAAGAGTTACACTAATATTAAGAAATAGTCTAATACAGGGCTCCCCAACCTATGGGCCACGGCCCGGTAGTGGGCTGTGGCCTGCTGGCCACCGGGCCGTGGGACAGGCTGGCCAGTGTGCGCACACACCCCCACTTGTGCTAGCGCCGCAGCCGTGGGATACAAAAACAGGACACCGTGCCACAGGGTGCAAAAACGGGACACTGCTGTACTGCAGGCCGCGAAAACAGGCCGCCATGCTTCTGGGCACGAAACAGGCCACTGCTGCGCCTCGGGGTGCGAAAACAGGATGCTGCCGCGCCTCGGTGCAAAAACGGGACATTACTGCACCGTGAGGTGCAAAAACGGGTCAACGCCATGCTGCGGGGTGTGAAAACAGGCCACTGCTGCACCTCGGTGCGCAAAAACAGGTGCCACCCTGCTGCAGGGCGCAGAAATGGGGCTCTGTGCCGCACAAGAACAGGGCAGGCCTAGTGAATATCACGCAAGTGCTAGCCCCGCCCCATTTGCATCACGTGTGTGCTTGCGGCCCCGTGCGTGCGTGCGTGTGTGTATGAAAAATGCTTGCCCCTCCCTTTACCTCCGGTCTGCCAACCGAGAAAGGTTGGTGACCTCTGGTCTAATAGAATCGTTAAATATAGGATGCCAAAGGAGGGACAAAATAAAATGTAAATGACAAAAATTAAAATATTTTTAAAAATTATTTTAAATAATTAAATTGAATTGTCCCACAGTGAGTATTCCCATGGCGAGTTGGCTGTGGCCAATTGGCCGTGGTGAAATGACCATGGCGAGTTGGCTGAGGCAAGTTGTCCCATTCCACAAGGCACAACCAATAGCTGTTTTCGTGTTTTAATTTAGTGTTTTAATATAGTTCAATCTCTAGGTCTGTACTCAGGATCCAAATAGCTCATTTATTTTATTTTCATATATGAATCATGCTGGATTGTTTTAGCTGCTAATGGATGTAGTATCCAGGATTGTGCACAGATCATTTACAGAGCATGGCTTGATTTACATGTGTCTCCTTTTCCTTCCTTGGATTTGTAGATAATAAGTGAAGACCAATTTCGACAGCTGGAAAAGATCAAAACAATAGGGAGCACATATATGGCTGCTTCGGGTCTTAATGATTCCACCTATGACAAGGTGGGCAAAACGCATATCAAGGCCCTGGCGGACTTTGCAATGAGGCTAATGGATCAAATGAAGTACATCAATGAGCATTCGTTCAACAATTTCCAGATGAAAATAGGTAAATATTGTGGTTGTACTTTATGTTCCAGAAATTCACCCTCTCAATCCACTCTCTACGATTAAAAAAAGCAAATGCCATATTTCATATGAAGCTACTGAATGCAAGTAGTTATGTTTCTTTTGACTGGTATTCAGTTGGCAGTGCCAGTTATGACTTATGCAAATTATATAACATGTCCAACCGACAGTGGAAAAATCAAAACATACCCCTGCATCACAAATGTGCTCTTTGGTGTACAGTAGCTACAAGCATAAATTATTCCCGATAACAAAAATATACCTAAGAATAAGCATACAATAAGATAAGCAAGTAATCAGTGATCTTTTCAGCTTCCAGAATTCCACACATTCATACACACTAGTATCAACACAAAGCTTCCCAGTCAGTAGGCTTGTAACTGCACCCTGATAGGTCTGCATTTCACTAGGATCAAAAATGCAAAACTGTGAGCTATCTCATCATCATCATCATTTTTCCATTTCCCCCTTTGTATTATTTCCTTCAGACTGATGTCCCAGAGAGAGGAATTTACTATGTAATATCCAGAGCAGGCATAGTTTGTTCTGACTGTCATTGGGGCACATGTTGCAGTCAAAATAAAATAAAATAACGGTTCTACAGTTCAGACATGTCTACAGAATATGTATTCACATTTCACTCCTGTGACTTGCGGAAGCTGCAGAAGGTTAACGGGCAAGACAGGAACCTCAAGAAGCGATATCCTTTCTGGCGTGCCCTTGGGGAAATTCAGTAGCTCCAGAAACACCTTGATAGGGTTGGGACTGAGTCCTATCCTTATTGATTTCGACGGAAAAGATTTAAGACAATTCTTAATGTTTCCACTGAAGTCAGTGGGAGTAGATTGTATTTTGGTTTCCAAATATTTATAATTTTTTTATTTGCAAATTTGTGCCAAGGGTGGATTGTTTCTTTTCTCTCTCCCTCTTCCCCTGCTCTCTTTCTGTCTCCCTTCACTTTCTCTGTATTTTTTTTTTAAAATCTTTATTAAAATAATTTTTAAAAAATAACATTTGTGGGAAAATGTGAATCTACAAATTATTTGTTATATTTATATGGCCTCCCACCTCAAAAAAAAAAACATGACTCTGGTGCGATATATAAATTACACTAGTAGTTAACAGCTAAATAAATAAATGAAAGAAGGGTGTGCAGCAAACTGCTTCCTTTCCTTCTTTTATTTATACGAAGTGACTTCTTCAAAACTTAGTAGAGGTGAGTGAGGCCTGGGGACGAATCTGGTGGTTGTATTGTTTCTGCATGCGATTTTCTGATGGTAGCTAGTAAGCAGCAATTTATTTTTGGAAGTCTTAACTCCTTACTGCTTTGTTTCTAGGGCTCAATATTGGTCCTGTAGTAGCAGGAGTCATAGGTGCACGTAAGCCCCAGTATGATATTTGGGGCAACACTGTGAATGTAGCTAGTCGAATGGACAGTACAGGAGTCCCCGATAGGATTCAGGTGAGTCTTCCTGACACCTTTTTTTTTTTTTTACCTTTCCAAACTCTGCTTGCAGCAGCACTTACATAACTTGTAATAGTGAGAGAGAAGATACTTCAGCATACATTTGATACAACTGCCTTCCCCCTCTGTATTTTGTACCCTTCTTTTAATAGAGCCAGCATCTGTGTTTAGAGGTTGAATGCTTATGCCTGGCAATTGGATAGTAAGGCTTCTTGAGTATAATGGACTCTAAATCTAGTAGACTTGCCTAGCATCAGTTCTGCTTCCATATTGTTCTATCCCAGCCTATTACCGTCCTTGTTAGAGGCACAAGGACCAAACCCCTGCTGATACAATAGACTGGAGACTTTAAAACAAAACAAAATCCCTTTTATTTGGGTGACAAACCTGTCAATAAGTCCAACACACAAACAGCAAAACTCAAGTCCAAAGGAAGGAAATAGTCCACAGGAACACGTTGCAAACAAGACGAACAGACCAGGATTCCAAGAAGCACTTTGCAAACGGTTGCCTTCAGCAACCAGCACCGCCCACACCTNTTTTTTTCATTTCATGATCACAGATATCTTGCTGTAGATAATCTACAGGGGGCCGATAGGCACCATCTTAGCATAGTGGGCCTATAGCTTAGATAAAGAATACTGACAAGCACATTTCCTAGATTGCTTTCAGAACATTTGCGTGGGAAAAGTGTTACATAAATATTGTAAATTGACTAAATGAAGAGCATTGTAATTCAGTGGGAGTTCTTTTCAAAAACTAACCAATTTTACTTGCTTAAATTACGTCTCAAGGATAACAATCTTGGAAAAGTTGCTGCTTTTACGAATGTCGATGGTTTTCTTCTTCATGGGATTCTACTCCTATTGATCAGCCTCACCAACCTGAATCAGAACTCAAAATGAAGCTTCCGCCAATATTTGAGTTCAATTTTGAGGACAGAACTAATAATTTCAGTAATAGGTCTTCTAAGTACGCTTAAAATTAGAACCCGATGAAGTGTAACAGGTGACTCTGTTATCACCGGTCTATTACATCCCATGAATATTTATTTCCAGCCCATTTCCCACATAAATGAAGTTAACTTGCAATCACCTCCTTGTCTCTCTCTTTCTCTCTCTTCAGGCTACTGAAGAAAAGGAGGAGATGGAGGAGCTGCAGGCCTACAACCGACGGCTTCTCCATAATATCTTGCCAAAGGACGTAGCAGCCCACTTTCTTGCACAGGAGCGGAGAAACGATGAACTGTATTACCAGTCCTGTGAATGTGTGGCTGTCATGTTTGCTTCCATCAGCAACTTCTCAGAATTCTACGTGGAGTTAGAGGCCAATAATGAAGGGGTGGAGTGCTTGAGGCTCCTCAATGAAATCATTGCTGATTTTGATGAGGTGAGCAAATTCAAGGAGAACAATGGTCTCTTTCATGCTGAGGACTGATCACTATGTAAAATACCCTGTTCCACACAACATTGCCTTTGGCACTTTGGTTGTCTAGGTTCAGGAGCTTTTTAAGTGACAAATATTTTTTTTTTAACTTTCTGCTCTAATAGATATTAATACAAAAATTCAATTGAACCTTCTCTACAGTCGTAAAGAGTTCCCCAAAACTCTTAGAATTCATGGAACTAGTTTTTCTATCCCAGTTGAGTGATTGCATGTCCTGGTCACCTACTTAGTCTTTTGGCCCCTAGTGCCATAGAGCGGGGCAAGTAGGAATTGAGTCAAGGCAGCTGAAACATGCATGCACTTGCTAGGAAACTTATTCATTAGAGCTAGCTTGGATTTTCTTGAATTTTTTTGTAGCAAAGAAGGAATTACATTATAACAGAATAATCTATGCCATACAATTAAAAGTGCAAATAGTGTTAACTCAATTACCTGTGTGTGATAGCAAGCATTGACACATGTCATTTGTATTATACTAAACACAGACAGGAATTTGAACAGACAGGAATATATTCATGTTGTATTATATTATATTGAAACATTATAAAATATTGCCTCCTATACTAGGCTAGAATATTGCATCAGAAGATCTAGGACTTCTTAACCCAAGGATAAATGATGTGTGTCAGTGTTTGAGGGTCTATGTCAATTTGCTACAGCCAACTCGCCATGGCCAACTCACCACAACTTTCTGCAGTCAACTCGCCATGGCCAATTTTCTGCGGGACAACTCACCACGGGACAAGAGTTACACTAATATTAAGAAATAGTCTAATACAGGGCTCCCCAACCTATGGGCCATGGCCCGGTAGTGGGCTGTGGCCTGCTGGCCACCGGGCCGTGGGACAGGCTGGCCAGTATGCGCACACACCCCCACTTGTGCTAGCGCCGCAGCCGTGGGATACAAAAACAGGACACCGTGCCACAGGGTGCAAAAACGGGACACTGCTGTACTGCAGGCCGCGAAAACAGGCCGCCATGCTTCTGGGCACGAAACAGGCCACTGCTGCGCCTCGGGGTGCGAAAACAGGATGCTGCCGTGCCTCGGTGCAAAAACGGGACATTACTGCACCGTGAGGTGCAAAAACGGGTCAACGCCATGCTGCGGGGTGTGAAAACAGGCCACTGCTGCACCTTGGGGTACGAAAATGGAATGCCGCCATGCCTCGGTGCGCAAAAACAGGTGCCACCACGCTGCAGGGCGCAGAAATGGGGCTCTGTGCCGCACAAGAACAGGGCAGGCCTAGTGAATATCACGCAAGTGCTAGCCCCGCTCCATTTGCATCACGTGTGTGCTTGCGGCCCCGTGCGTGCGTGTGTGTATGAAAAATGCTTGCCCCTCCCTTTACCTCCGGTCTGCCAACTGAGAAAGGTTGGTGACATCTGGTCTAATAGAATAGTTAAATATAGGATGCCAAAGGAGGGACAAAATAAAATGTAAATGACAAAAATTAAAATATTTTTTAAATTATTTAAAATAATTAAATTGAATTGTTGAATTGTCCCACAGTGAGTATTCCCGTGGCGAGTTGTCCCGTGGCGAGTTGGCTGTGGCCAATTGGCCGTGGTGAGATGACCATGGCGAGTTGGCTGAGGCAAGTTGTCCCATTCCACAAGGCACAACCAATAGCTGTTTTCGTGTTTTAATTTAGTGTTTTAATATAGTTCAATCTCTAGGTCTGTACTCAGGATCCAAATAGCTCATTTATTTTATTTTCATATATGAATGATGCTGGATTGTTTTAGTTGCTAATGGATGTAGTATCCAGGATTGTGCACAGATCATTTACAGAGCATGGCTTGATTTACACGTGTCTCCTTTTCCTTCCTTGGATTTGTAGATAATAAGTGAAGACCAATTTCGACAGCTGGAAAAGATCAAAACAATAGGGAGCACATATATGGCTGCTTCGGGTCTTAATGATTCCACCTATGACAAGGTGGGCAAAACGCATATCAAGGCCCTGGCGGACTTTGCAATGAGGCTAATGGATCAAATGAAATACATCAATGAGCATTCGTTCAACAATTTCCAGATGAAAATAGGTAAATATTGCGGTTGTACTTTATGTTTCAGAAATTCACCCTCTCAATCCACTCTCTACGATTAAAAAAAGCAAATGCCATATTTCATATGAAGCTACTGAATGTTTCCTTTGACTGGTATTCGGTTGACAGTGCCAGTTATGACTTATGCAAATTATACAACATGTCCAACCGACAGTAGGAAAATCAAAACACACCCCTGCATCACAAAATGTGCTCTTTGGTGTACAGTAGCTATAAGCATAAATCATTCCCGATAAAAAAATACACCTAAGGATAAGCATACAATAAGATAAGCAAGTAATCGGTGATCTTTTCAGCTTCAAGAATTCCACACATTCATACACACTAGTATCAACACAAAGCTTCCCAGTCAGTAGGCTTGTAACTGCACCCTGATAGGTCTGCATTTCACTAGGATCAAAAATGCAAAACTGTGAGCTATCTCATCATCATCATCATTTTTTTCCATTTCCCCCTTCGTATTATTTCCTTCAGACTGATGTCCCAGAGAGAGAAATTTAATGTGTAATATCCAGAGCAGGCATAGTTTGTTCTGATTGGGGCACATATTGCAGGCAAAAGAAAAGAAAATAAGGGTTCTACAGTTCAGACATGTCTACAGAATATGTATTCACATTTCACTCCTGTGACTTGCGGAAGCTGCAGAAGGTTAACGGGCAAGACAGGAACCTCAAGAAGCGATATCCTTTCTGGCGTGCCCTGGGGGAAATTCAGTAGCTCCAGAAACACCTTGATAGGGTTGTGACTGAGTCCTATCCTTATTGATTTCGACGGAAAAGATTTAAGACAATTCTTAATGTTTCCACTGAAGTCAGTGGGAGTAGATTGTATTTTGGTTTCCAAATATTTATAATTTTTTATTTGCAAATTTGTGCCAAGGATGGATTGTTTCTTCTCTCTCCCCCTCTTCCCCTGCTCTCTTTCTGTCTCCCTTCACTTTCTCTGTATTTTTTTTTTAAAATCTTTATTAAAATAATTTTTAAAAAATAACATTTGTGGGAAAATGTGAATCTACAAATTATTTGTTATATTTATATGGCCTCCCACCTCAAAAAAAAAACATGACTCTGGTGTGATATATAAATTACACTAGTAGTTAACAGCTAAATAAATAAATGAAAGAAGGGTGTGCAGCAAACTGCTTCCTTTCCTTCTTTTATTTATACGAAGTGACTTCTTCAAAACTTAGTAGAGGTGAGTGAGGCCTGGGGACGAATCTGGTGGTTGTATTGTTTCTGCATGCGATTTTCTGATGATAGCTAGTAAGCAGCAATTTATTTTTGGAAGTCTTAACTCCTTACTGCTTTGTTTCTAGGGCTCAATATTGGTCCTGTAGTAGCAGGAGTCATAGGTGCACGTAAGCCCCAGTATGATATTTGGGGCAACACTGTGAATGTAGCTAGTCGAATGGACAGTACAGGAGTCCCCGATAGGATTCAGGTGAGTCTTCCTGACACCTTTTTTTTTTTACCTTTCCAAACTCTGCTTGCAGCAGCACTTATATAACTTGTAATAGTGAGAGAGGAGAAGATACTTCAGCATACATTTGATGCAACTGCCTTCCCCCTCTGTATTTTGTACCCTCCTTTCAATAGAGCCAGCATCTGTGGGAGGTTGAATGCTTATGCCTGGCAATTGGATAGTAAGGCTTCTTGAGTATAATGGACTCTACATCTAGTAGACTTGCCTAGCATCAGTTCTTCAACCTCTGCTTCCATATGGAGACAGAACATGATTTCAGCAGGGTTATATGCCTTGTTTAAAACTCCGTTTCCTCTGATGCTTTGGCGAGTGCCAAGGCCTCTGTACTGTGAACACAATCGGAGTGCAAAGTTTTTCTCTCCAATAATCCCAGATAAACTTTTAATGAGAGGGCTTGAGAGGGCTGAACGCTGATTCTTCTTTTTGAATACTTTCCAGGTCACCACAGACATGTATCAGGTTTTAACCGTCAACAACTACCAACTAGAATGCCGAGGGGTTGTGAAAGTCAAAGGTAAAGGAGAAATGACCACCTACTTCCTAAATGAAGGCCCGTCAGCAAGTTAGCGACAGTGGGCAAGGATGACTCCATTGATTCAAACACAATAGCAAGTTGGAGAAAATGTCACTGTTTCACAGTGAATCTAAATCCCAAGGCACAGTTGAGTATTTCATGAGATGCCTTTTTAGTAGGATTGTGTGCGAAGGGAAATTTTTTTTTTCTTTGTGTCGAACCCGACGGATCGTGTGTGAAGTCTTCAGTGGATCGTGACGACGTCTGGAAAAAGGCTTCCACTTGCAATTCACTTAACTGGTTTCTACATACAAATCACCTTACGCCTCTACTTCTCCACCTAAACTCTAGAAGCAACACCGACGATGTGTCCTGAATTTTGATAAATTCATAAATATTGAAGTAACACAGTGTTTTTACTTGGTGGAAGGAAAGTATGATTCATTGCAACAAAAAGGAAAACTAAAATGAACAGCATTATTTTGGAAAGGCTGTGCACTCCCATACTATTTCTGGTCTGTGCTGTCAGCTCCTTGAATGTGCCACTGTTCTTATCTTAGCTGTTTGAGTGGGCTTTTAAAATGGAAGTTGTTGCCCACTGTAACTCTTTACAAAGGGCCTTTTTAAATTATGCCATCGGTAATGTTTTTAAATGGGAAAATTGCCTTGTTATGTACTCTTGCTATCCCTAACCCTTACACAAATGTGAGGCTTCCTCATTTTAACAAGAGAGGTGTGTTTAAAGGAGGGAGAGTTAATTGTTTAAAGTGAGGAAAAAGAATTTTTCATATGTATTTATTAAATGAAAAGACCTTCTAACTCCTACTGGTGCATTTTGGTTCACAGGTGAAAGACTAGCTGTTGAATCTTCCTGTGGGTCGGGGAGATTTTTTCTGATACGTGCGGGGGATTATTGGTTTGGGAGGTTTTGTATTTTGTAATACGGGAGACACTGACGCTAACAAATATACCAAAATTCTATATTTTGAAAATTGTATGTATTAAAATTTCATCCCAATTGTGCAACAGTGATCAGCTTGTGTATCTGCTAGAACGCAGTACACATAACCGCTATGTGAAAAGGTGTAGAAAAAGGAGAGACTCACATGCAGCAGTCTAAGCAAGCACTGAGCATCTGGTACAGCTGCTTTTATCTTTTGGGTGGAGCAATCTTGATCCATTCATACATGCCACCATAGTTGATTGCACCTGACATACATTCCCTTCTCTGACATAATCTGCCTGGGAGGAGAGGGGAAACGGGAGTCCAGGTTGGGCCCCTTTGCCAGAGAGCTGATCAGTGAGAGATCTTTCCTCCGGTCTCTCTCTTAATTTAGCTCGCAGGGAGAAGCCTCTTGCTGAGTGAGCACGAAATTGAGTCGAAACTGGTGGCTGTGCACACAACAGCATCTTGGGAGGTGTACATAAGCTATAAAATTGTGGATGTTCTTTTTGTTCTTTTCAGAGTTGCAGACTTGGCAGTTTTCAATTTCTGTGCAGTCCAGGAAGCAAGCAGAAGCTTAAAAGGGGCTCCAGGATAAAAATAAAAATAAAATGAAGGTTATGAAACTTTAGGCTAAAAAAAAACAAAACAAAGAAAAGCAAGAACTAGCCCAAATAAAGTTAAAGATAAAATGTATCCCCAATTTTGAAATAGCTTTTGACATGTAAGTGAATGACACTGGGATAAAAACAATTTCCAATATTCAAAGAACCAAAAGAAAAAAAAATCAAAATATTTAACGGTTTAATAATGTGTAGCGAATTGCTGTGGAATATTGTCTAGAAATGTTGCTGTTATGAAGAGGTGGGGAATTAAGTTCTACTTTCAATTCACTGAACTGGCATTTAGTTTTAAAAAGGCTTGGGAAAGTTTGGATATTTTTTGTCTGTAACCCAACAAAATTGATTGCGGATGCTGGGATGGCCTAACAATTTTTTAAGAAAAGGAGGACTGATATGCATTTATAAATAGGTTCATCATGAATTTTCAATGCCCATACATTTTATCAAAATAGTAAAGTGTAGAAAGCATATATTTTTATATTTCAATGCAAGAATTTATATTGAACCTGGCTGTCTCCAAAATTAATAACCTTTGACAGATTTTTTTCTACTTTTCAAGATAGATTTTTAGTAATATTAATAAGCTGAATGGCTATGACATGAGATCTGAACTCTGACCAAGAAATTAAATAAAATCTGTGTTCTCAATTTATTAAATTGGGTAACATAATTATCATGTGGAGCTCTTTTAAACAAGAACGTAGTAGTGTCTCATTTCCATTATGTTCATTTGCTTCTCTTCTAGTAGGATATATCCTGGAGCCATAGTACAGTCTGATTTGTAAAAAACTGCCAAGTTTGTTCTTGTACTATATGTTTTTTAACCTTTAAACAAAATCTGATTTCCAAAGGTCTTCATTTACATGGTACTTCAGCTTGTTCCTTATCTTCCACCCTTTCTTTAAGGCGTCATTTACCACTTCCAAAATTTAATTAATAGCACAATATAGGGTCTTTTTTATTTAAGTTGGCCTCCTGCTTTGAAGTGTGCATTAACATTTGAGCAGACCGCCTTGCGCAATTGTGTTGTCAATGAAATTTTCAGTCGCCTGTATCTCTGACTGTGATTGTTGACTGTGTCATGATCATTTCAAGGGGTATGCACTCTTTATTCTGGCTCTTGCAAGATGAATACAGTTAGGATTTCCCATGGAAATTGCAATCTGTTTAATTTAACAACTATATTAAACATTGTTTCACTTGTCAATCAGTCTTTTCTGGTTTTTCATTATTGGTTTATAAAAATCTAAGACATTTGTCACTGTGCTTTAAAATGACAACTGGACGTTATTTTGTTGACCTCCCAAATATTTTTTCAACGTGATATATCTGATCTGGCTTCAGAAACGCATGCGACCAAAATATGCTTTTGAAGCAGGAAGATTGTCTTGGCAGAAGAGTCATGCAAAAAATTATAGCAAAAATATTGCCATCCTCCATCAGGCGAACACAGAAACAATGGCTATTAGTGTCTGGGACAAAGGATTTTGAAATGAGTCAGCTGTTCTGTTTGATTTCTGAATCAAAGCCCAGTGAAACTGAACTTCATAGGGACTTAAAAGAGGGACTAGTATAGGGAGAGACAGGCCCAAACCAATAGCCCTTCCTGTACATAAATGCAATGCACTTTGAATTAAATGGCATCCCTAGCTAAAACAAACTCTCATTTGAATTAGAAACTAATTCCATACAGGCAGTCCCTTGACTTGCGACCATTCGTTTAGCAACCATTCAAAGTTAAAAGAGCACTGAAAAAGTAACTTACCACCCATCCTCACACTTATGACTGTCACAGCATCCCCACAGTCACATGATCAGAATTCATGTATTCATGAATTATCATGTATTCATGATAATTGCAGCGCCCTAGAATCATGCAATTGTCATTTGCAACCTTCCCAGTCAACTTCTGACAAGTAAAGTCAATGGGAGAACTGGATTCACTTAACGATTGCAGTGATTCACTTTGTTAGATGAAATGGCAAAAAAATGTTCATAAAGTTGAGCATAATTTAATTAACATCCGCCTTGCTTAGCAATAGAAATTCTGATCCCGGGCGTAGTTGTAAGTCAAGGACTACCTGTATAAGAATCTTCTTTGCTGATTCTTGTCGTGAAATCTGGTGTTGAATTGCAAGAGGGAATTCTCTCTTTCCCAAGGAACTAAGAGGCAAATCAAATCAACAGAGTCCTTAGTATACAGAAAGAGAGGCAGGAGGGATCCTCCCTAAACCTTAACAGGATTTACCCGATAGCATGTGCTTTTCTCTGGCAAGATAAATGTTGGGATGTGACTCAATGAATTACTGAAGTGTAGTTTATTGCTGTTTGCCTATAGACAGGAAACTTGCCAGATTAAAGCACACTCTACATCAGGGGTGTCAAACTCAATTTCATTGAGGGCCACATCAGCATTGCGGTTGCCCTCAGGGGGCCAGGTGAGTGTGGCCAGGGTGGGTGCGGCCTACTGGGTGGGTGTGGATGGAGTGGGTGTGGCCTACTGGGTGGATGTGGCCAGCTCTACATCGTTCACATCAAGGGTGCCTGTGGGGGCCTGGGCAGGAGTGGGATAGATCTGAGGGTCTCTGGCAGAAGGGGGTGAGACCAGGGCAAGTGCCAAGGCATGGTCCACTGGAGGAGCCTCACTGTTCGTCTCAGGCCATGCGGGGGGGGGGGCTTATGGAGCTAAGACTGAATGCATTTCAGCATAGATGGCCACCACAAAATTGTACATTGGCTCCCGGCTGGCCTGGCCAGGGCCAAGGCAGAGGGGGCCGTTCCCTCACTGTTTCCAGGATGGCTTTGTGGGCCACATGAAACCACTTCACGGGCCGCATCCGGCCCCCGGGCCTTGTGTTTGACAGGTCTACTCTATATAACTTATCAGAAAATCCTGTGAAGATTTGGGGAGGATCCTTTCTGCGGTCTCTTTCTGCCTAAAAATGACTCAGTGTTAATTTGTCTATTAGCTCCTTGGGGAACAGCCTTTCCCTCTTGCAATTCAATGCCAGATACCACCACACTCTATAATCATGTGAAAATGTTCACCCTATGTAAAAAAAAATTTTTAAACATTCATAGAAATATATTATCTTTAGTTGATATTGTCCCTGTTGGCAGAAACATCTTCTTAGCAGTAGACATTTCTTAGAACTGTGTCCCAATCTCTGATATTGACTGGGATTTTTTCCCCCATCATCCATGCAAAAAAAAATTCAGCTGTTAAATGTTTCAGATTCTCATATGCACAGACTGTTTCAAATCACCCCACAGCATCTTGATGGAATTTAGATCTGGGTTTTGATTCAGCCATTCTAGAATCTTTGTTTCCCCCCCAGCTATTCCTTGGTGGATTTACTGGAATGCTTAGGGTTGTTGTCATGTTGCGTGGTCCACTTTCAGTTCAAGTGCAATCTTCTGATAGATGGTCTCACATTACTCCCAAGTGCCCTCTGGTACGATGAAGAATTCACAGTAGATTCTGTGATGGTGTACTGCCCAGCCCAAAACTATAACAGTTCCCCACTACCATGTTTTTCAGTTGGATCAGGTCATGAAGAAATGCTGTGCCAAACATGTCTTTTAGTTCGGGGGCCCAGTAACTGTTATTTTTGCCTGGTCTATCCAGTGCT